CTCTAAATCCTAAACCTTAAACCTTAAACCCTAAAACCCCAAAACCCTCAACCCTAAACCTTAAACCCGAAACCTTACACACCCTGGGGTTTCGGATTTAAGGCTTGGGATTACGGCCGTTTCTTAGGCTATATTTCGAGTTTAGGGCTTATTTAGGGTTTAGGATTTAAGCTTTGAGTTTATTTAGGGTTTCGGATTTCGGGCTTCGGGTTTAGGGTTTCTGTAGGATTTGGGGTTGGGGGCTCAGAACATTAGAGATCAATTCTCGGCCCCCAAGATGGAAGAGAGGCGGCCCTAATAGTTAGAATAGGGTTTCGGGCTCCTTTATAGTAGAGTTATGAGATAAGGAGCCCTGAGGAATAAATTTGGTAACTATTTAGGCTTTTACAGAACCTGCAGCAAGCAACATGCATCATCGAAGTGCCCGAAGATGAATTCCGCGATAGCGCCGCCGGCATTTTGGCCACCTGTCTTCCGATATCTGTCTGTTCATGTAGGGGGTTCAGAAGATGGGACCCCAAATGGAACCGTCCTGGAGCATCTGAAGCCTCGAAGCTTTCTGAAACAGGCCGGGCCACTGATGATGTCACAGAACTTGGCCACGAAGAGCGTGGTTAACCTTGACTTCTCGGGCGTGCAGCGCTGGGGCGTTCGGTCATCGGGCCTTCAGGGTTTGGAGTGTGGGGGAAACAGGTTGGGGCATTAGGGATTAGGGTCGTGGGCCCAGGATACGGTTGATGATAGAAATCCTGCATTAATTACCTTAATGACCCACAAAACTGGGGGAATTATGGTATATTCCTGATTATGGGTAATGCAGGATTTATATCATCAACCGTAGTTTCACAGCTTTGGAGGAAGGAAGTTGAGCGATCTTCATGTACGACTTAGCGCGAGCTCACGGCAACCAGCCCCGCCAGTAGAACCCTTGCCCACTGCTTCCCTGGGTCCAGGGATACTTCGTCCACTAAGTGTTTCAGAAAGACAGATACCCAGAGGCTCCATAGTAGTTCCTTTTTGGGCTTACCTCATAGGATTCTATATAAGAACCCCAAAAAGGAACTACTTTGGAGCCTCTAGGTAGATCCCTTTGGTTTCTGCTCTTCCGCACCTTCGTCGGCCCCTTAACACCCTTCCAGGTCTTCGTGCCAGGCGAACTCCCTAAAACCCCAAAACCCTAAAACCCTAAACCCTAAAACCCTAAACCCTAAACCCTAAAACCCTAAACCCTGAAACCCTAAACCCTAAAACCTAAACCCCAAAACCTAAACCCTAAACCGTGCGTCTGCTCTTCCGGCTGAGGGCCTCGCCTCGCAAGCCCTACCATAGAGCCCGAATGCTCAGCGAACGGAATTCTTTTCAGAGGGAGGGTCTTGTACTACAACCAATATTCTAGGATAATACTGCGGAGATTGCTGGGTAGCAGTAATGCCAATGATCGATTCTGCAAGTTGCAACAGTGCCGTGCTCCCTGGCTGCTTGTGCACAAAGCACTACGAGCAATGGCTCATCCTCGGCCTCTTAAAGCATCCGTACCCATGGGCCCCATAGTAGTTCCTTTTTGGGGATTACCTTATAGGATTCTGCAGATGAACCCAGAAAAGGAACGACTACGGGGCCCCTCTGGGTAAAGGCTAGAACTCTTCAACAGGGCTTAGGCTTAGGGTTTAGGCATCCAAGGTAATTAAGGGGGCCTGAATACCTAGATTAAGCCTTTGGGGCCCATTACGCTCTAATTCTAAACCCCCAGAGTCGGAAAGGCAATGATTAAGGCCCCTATGCCGAAGAACCTTACTCTGGATCCCTTCTAGACCCCTTTAAGGACTCCTTTAAAGGGAACCCCCAAAATAGGATTAGGTATATAATCATTTAGGGCCCTGTATTACCAGACCCTAGACTCTGCAGGCAGCTGCAAAACTGGAGATGCGGCCGAGCGGCAGAAGCCTGAGCAACATGACAAGATTTAACATACGGTTGATGATATTTTTCCTGCATGGCCCAAAATTTGGAATATACCATAATTCCCATAGTTTAGGGTCCTTAAGGTCATGCAGGATTTATATCATCCACCGTAGGGGCCTTAATGATTAGACTTGGGTTCCCGTTGCTAAAGGGGTCTATAAGGGCTACTTTCAGGGATAACACTTCTGTTCTTGAGTGCCACAAGGTTAGTACTCCTATATTTCTATGTTTCCAAACGAATGTTATGATGATGGTCAGCATTATCCATAGTAATATTGAAGACTGGGAATTCACCAACATTCTTCCTCAGGGTCCCTTATCATATCTAAAACCACGATCATGTACCCCATTATATATACATATATATATATATATATATACATCCTGTTCTAGAAGGTTAACCCTATACATCGTACGTTTGCTCTCTTGGCTAGTATATAGGGGCCTTCATAACTGCCTACACTATGTTGGGGAGCTCCGTATTATCATTATAGCCAAAACCCCATTCTAATTATTAAGGCCCCTGAACCCTAAACCCTTATAGTACCTTTACAGCACCCTTTAAAGGGAACCCTAGTCTAATTATTAAGGCCGGTTGCGGCTGGTCTTGCGAAACTGGCTGAAGATCGGACAGCGTGTCTACAGATTGGTCCACAGAGTTTGGGGTTTAGGGCGATTCGGAAAATGCCGTGTCAAAAAGCAACAGCGAAGGTGTGTCATAAGAATGCTCACAACTGATACTGACGAAGCGTTAAAGGAGTTGACACGCCATTTCCTGAACTCCAACTTAAATACCCTATGCCCTAAACCCTAAACCCCAAACCCTCAACAGTAAACCCTAAACCCTAAAAGCCCGATCTCAAAAGACCAGAAGCCTGGACCTTTCGAGACTTCCAAAACACCGCGCAAGCGACGGTCTAAGCTTGTTTTTTCTCAACGGATTTAGGGCTTTAGGGCTTGAGCTCTCGGGGAATATACGGTTGGAGGGTTTAGTCAAAGGGCTTCGGTTTACCGAGCAATCTGAAAGACTTGCAAGATGCATCCACGGGGCAGGGTAACTACCAAAGGCATGCAAAGCGCAGACAGCATCAGGAACCATATCCTCAGCTCATCACCAAAAGTACGCGGAAGAGCTTTACAGGGATGGCTGCGGCAACTCCTAGCCCAACAGTGCCTGTAGGATCCATATTATATGACCATCCAGGTTCCAAGAGTTTGGATCCCTTAGTGGCGGTTCCGTTGATGTATGAAGCTAGTGCTACTACTGCTTCTCCTGATTCTGCTGCTGCCACAGTATTTCCCGGTATGATAGATTATGTAATTCATAAACTCCGGGGGCAAACTTTGCAGACAAAACAAAAGACACAATGCTTAAACAAAATCGAAACATGTAAAGACCATTCAAAAAACTGCTTGGCTTGAGTTGAATTGAACCACCCTTAAACGCTGAAGCCTAACCCTTAAACACCCTAAGCCCAAAGTCTAGCCCCTATAAACCCTAAGCACGATCCCCGCATTCTGATCGCCACGAGCCGCAGATTGGAGAGTCGCTCCAAGATCCAGTTTCGAAGCACGGTCCGACGTCTGGCATGAGTTTTAGGGACTGGGGTTGGGGTTTAGGGTTTAGGGTTTAGGGTTTAGGGTTGTGGTTTAAGGCTTAGCGTGTGTTTTGGTTGAGGGCCAGGGGTTTCGCCACGGTGAAATACAATCCTAAACTCCCAAACCCTAACTAAACCCTAAACGCCAAAAACCCCCTCAACCCGAAAAGCCCCAAAACCCTAAAGCCCAGAGTAGAATTCCGAAAGTTAGAGCCCATACGCATACTTGGAAGGGCAGGGGACTTAGTAAGTAGGTTATAAGTAGGGTTATAATTGGGGTAACTCCATTTAGGGTACTTGTAACTGTACTTATTACCTACTTACTAAGTCCCCTGCCCTTCCAAGTAGAGGCTTCTGAGATCCGCCTCGCTTCGCGATTTGCCACGCCCCGCGCCACAAGGTCCTTCTGGATCCAAGTCAAGGGTCTTGGGTTCAGGGCCTGAGATATGCGTGTATGCATATATATATATATATATATATATAGAGAGAGAGAGATGGTTTATGTGTATGTAATGTATAAACATATACATATACATACACATAAACACACACACACACATAAACATAGACATAGACAAAAAACAAACACACACACACACACCCTCAACCCGAAACCGTAAACGGCATACCTCCGAGCTCTGCTGGCCGACCAGCAGCGATGAGACATCCCGTGCAGCTTGGAAGGACATGGCTTTCAAGTTCAGAGTATAGCGAGTTCAGGGTTGAGCTGCTTGGGAGTTGCTCGGATTTGGCCTTCATCGCCCGTAGGAATGCGGGGGTTTCTGGGTGGTTGTCGGATGTACCTAAGCCCCCCAAAGTAGGTAAAATACTGGCCCAATACCTATCAAAGGCTATTATTCTACATTCTCCAGGTAAGGGAATATTCGGAATATTCGGACTGTTAAGATGTCGGGCTCAGGGTTCCTTCTCGACGATCGACGACGCCATGAGTGATTTCCTTGTGGTGGCAGTTGCCACTATCATGGGTCTTGTGGGCAGCGGCTGTCGTATCAAAGTAGTACTGCCTAACTAACATAATGGCACAAAATGCCATTCTTCTACATACTGCTGGGGTCCAGGTTGCGACGTGATTTGAAGACGCCCTCTCAGCCGTGACTCCATTCTGAAGCCTCTATCACCTGCAGCTTCACGAGCAAGGATACTTTCCCAGCTGGTTCCGCGGGTGGCTTAGGGTATTTGGTTTAGGGTATAGCGTTCCGGGGTTTTGGGTTTAGGGCTTAGAACCATCCGCTGGCTTGGAGCAACAAGCATCGGCAGATTCTTGAGTCAAGGGGTCTTCCGACACCTTCAGCTCTAGCCAAAAACAAGGACAGCGCTGCAGTCCTGTTTTCGATGGGTCAGCATCGAGCTTTAAGCAATGCGCTGGTCATACGCTTGAAAGTGCGCAACGGAAAACTCGCAAGAGCACCCTTGCATATTTCACAACGTTCGAAAGTGCGCAAAGGATCGAGGCTGTACATCTGGGAGCAGCCATGGGCCGCAACAATGAACGAGCACCCATGGCGCCATGGCCTGCTGCTGCATCAACTGCTGCTGCATGGCTTGCTGAGCCGCGATGGCATAAGCTGTGTACCTTAAGTATTGTGGTATATACTTGTTTTTTAAACATTGGCCTTTGGCATTTCATAAAGGGGGGCTGCAGTCCTCCTGTAAGGAAATAAAAATGCTACTGGACAACTGCACAGGCTCGTGTCCTGCATCTGCTGGACGTACGCCTGCCGGGCAGCCGACTCTTCCGCTTCTCGCCGAAGTCTTTCCTGATGCTGACCTTTCAAACCATCATCATGACGTGTCATGGTGCGAATCGATTCCCCGTACAGACCTGCACGATTATGTGTCTGTACTCCACTCGAATGAAACTGTAACCCCATGAAGCTCAATCTTGAAGGTGGGGTTACATGTCAGTGATGCGAGGGAAAGATTACACGTATGCACCTACATACAGACTCATGTACATGTCTTTCTACGTACCGTACAGTAGTACATGCAAAACAACAGCCCTTCCGGAACCTAGTTCGACTGAGGTCCCCACGAATCACCTTTTGTATGGCTTCTTGGTCGACCTGAAGACATCTCAACCAATCAAAACGAAGGTGGATTCTTGGGGTCATGTAGGCTATGGACACACGAGGGGATGATTCTGTCATGTAGGTACTGAAAAACGCCCACCTTTCTCTGCCGCTGCTGCTCCGCCGACTGGCGATTCTTGTAAATGTCTAGCAACCTGGAAGGGGTGTGAGCATGATACGCTTTCAAACTTACACACCCCAACACACAAACCCCATAAGCCAGAATTCCAAACCCTAGACCCGTAACCGCTGACCCCCGAAACTCTAAACCCTAAATCTCCTACACTAACCCTAAAACCCTAAACCCTAAACCCGAAACCCCTAAACCCCTATAAACCCTAAACCCTAAACCCCTAATTACCCGAAATTACCCCTAGTCTTGTGGAAGTCCAGCAGCTGACGAATCTCAAGCTTGGCTGGCTCCATGGCCACGGATGGCCCCGTGAGGTGGAGGCCTGACATTTTGGTTCAGTGTCCCTGGAGCCACGGTTTAGGGTTTAGGGTTTAGGTTTAGGGTTTAGGGTTTTTAGGGAATGGAGAATCAGTTGGACCATGAAACGGAAACTAAGTTGTATACATATGAACAATCTGCACATATATCATACACATATGTATGTATGCGTGTAATACGTGTTAAAAATGCAAAAGAAAATATACCAACAAGTAGGACAGACAACGGTTGAGGTTTGGAGCTTGCCGCTTGCATGGCTCTTCCTCGCGCCAAGCTTTCATTCCAGCAGGTCAGAGGGGCAGGAGACACGAACGCTGTTGGCACTCAAGGCTCACTATGTGTGGACTCACAGATACAAAACACACTAAAAATGAGGTCGCAAATTGCGGAACAGCAGATAAAGGAGGTAAGAAAACTCAATCCCGAAAACTTCACAAGCTTGGGGTGTAGCATTTTCAGCCTGGCTAGAATAGAAATGATGACAGGATACTACTGCCAACACGCGGTCCAGAAGGACTAGCATGCATCCCTCCAAACTGGAAGGCTGCTGCTTCTGTGCACATTATATATATATATATATGTATATATATATATGTGTGTATATATATATATATATGGTGCCCCCCCCCCATGGATCCCACCGTTTGTATATATATATATATATATATATATATACAAGCACGAATTCCTTACCAGTGGAAGCTTTCCTGGTTTGCCGAGGAGGCGCAGAGCTTGGAGATGCTGCAGTCCAGGGCAAACTTGGCGGCCAACATGTCGAGCTCTTCCTTCCGCGCTTCGCTACCCCCAAAAAACTGGATGATGCGTCCAAGACGCCCCTTTCTCCCAAAGGCTCCACGTACCCATATAATCCCTTCCCCCTAATATTAAATGGTCGGGCCCCCCCCCCCCTTCGCCCTAAATAAAAACTCGAGAATGTTTTTATAATTAGGGTCCCGTTGTTTTCTCAACAGCCAGAAACACAGGTTCTACAAGTAATTAAATGATGAAAATGATGACGATGAAAATGATGATGACGATTACGGTGATGCTTGTTATGATGAAGATGGCGGTAGTGGTGGTGATGGTAATGATGACGATGATCATGGTCCAGGAAAAGAAGATGATGATGTTGTTGTTGATAGTAGCAGCAGTAGTAGTAGTCGGAGAAATAGCAGTAGTAGTAGTAGTAGTAGTAGTAGTAGTAGTAGTAGTAGTAGTAGTAGTAGTAGCAGTCGCAGCAGTAATTAGCAGCAATCGCAGCGGCAGCAGGAGCAGGAGTAGTAGTGGTATTGTCAATAGCAGGAGTAGAACATCCGCAGCATCGGCGGCAATGGCGTTTGGGCAAAGGGGCATGGGAAAGTGGGAATGGGTGGGTTTTGGTGGGTTTGCGCGGGTTTTCGGCGGGTTTGGTTGTGCTCTTGGCGGTTTTTAGTCATTTCAAATTTCGATTCTGGATGGGGAAAGGGCCCACGGGGACACCGCCAGAATTGGGCCTGCGACCGTGCCCAAATCCCCTACGGAGGCAGCCGCCCGCCCCCAGAACCATCTGGCCATGGCCTAATGGGTAAACGTCTGCCTCCAAAGCCCTCCTCGGGAAGGTCGTGGGCTCAATCCCCGGAGGTGTCATTTGGGCCCTTTCCCCACCCGGAATCGAGATTTTGGGGTGACCTGAAGCTCTGGGCTCTCTGGAGACTTAAGAAACGCTATTATAAGGGCTGCAAATTGCACCAAATCCGTGCAAATGCACACTAAAACCGTGCAAATGCACACTAAATCCGTGCAAAAACATACGAAATTCGTGCTAATACACACGAAATGCGTGCAAATACACACCAAATCCGTGCAAATACACACGGAATCCGTGCAAATACACACTAAATCTGTAAACACGCATTAAAAAAGAAGGCTTCAACAAAGGCTTAGCTAATAAAGCTTTGAATGCGGCTTAATTGAGCAGTTGCTGAGTCATGCAGTTGTAATCCTTTGGAAGCATCGTACCCATCCACGTGCTGGTGATGTGACGGCTATGATTGGGAAACGTTCTTTTCCATGCTAGTAAGATTCGTATCTGAGTTTCATCATGAATTGTTGTTCCGACAGTCTGACGGCAGTACTTTGCTTAATATGATGATGATGAGGAGGATGATGAGGAGGATGATGAGGAGGAGAATGAGGATGAGGATGCTTATAATGATAATGATGATGTCGATGTCGAAGGTTTGGAGGACTACTACTACTGCTGCTGCTGCTGCTGCTACTAGTACTACTACTACTGATCCTGCTGCTACTACTACTACTACTTGTACTATTCCTTGTACTACGATGACAACGACTACTTCTACCACCACCACTACCACCAATTACCACTGCCACTAATTACCACTGCTGCTGCTGCTGTTCTTGTTGTCACTACAACAACAACCACTACTACTACTACTACGACTAATTACTGTTACTTCTCATTAAATCTACTCCTCCTATTACGACGACAACTACGAACTGCTACCACTCCCACAACAATGAGCGAGCGTGCATTGACCGGATGGAAGATGAGACATGGCTGCAATGCAGTAGTAGTAGCAGTAGTAGTAGTAGTAGTAGTAGTAGTAGTGGTAGCAGTCGCAGCAGTAATTAGCAGCAATCGCAGCGGCAGCAGGAGCTGGAGTAGTAGTGGTATTGTCAATAGCAGGAGTAGAACATCCGCAGCATCAGCACCAATAGCATTTGGGCAAAGGGGCATGGGAAAGTGGGAATGGGTGGGTTTTGGTGGGTTTGCGCGGGTCATTTCAAACTTCGATTCTGGATGGGGAAAGGGCCCACGGGGACACCGCCAGAATTGGGCCTGCGACCGTGCCCAAATCCCCTAAGGAGGCAGCCGCCCGCCCCCAGAACTATCTGGCCATGGCCTAATGGGCAAACGTCTGCCTCCAAAGCCCTCCTCGGGAAGGTCGTGGGCTCAATCCCGGGGGTGTCATTTGGGCCCTTTCCCCACCCGGAATCGAGATTTTGGGGTGACCTGAAGCTCTGGGCTCTCTGGAGACTTAAGAAACGCTATTATAAGGGCTGCAAATCACACCAAATCCGTGCAAATGCACACTAAAACCGTGCAAATGCACATTAAATCCGTGCAAAGACATACGAAATTCGTGCTAATACACACGAAATGCGTGCAAATACACACGAAATGCGTGCAAATACACACCAAATCCGTGCAAATACACACGGAATCCGTGCAAATACACGCCGAATCCATGCAGCTAATAAAGCTTTGAATGCGGCTCAATTGACCACTTGCTGAGTCATGCAATTGTAATCCTTTGGAAGCATCGTACCCATCCACGTGCTGGTGATGTGACGGTTATGATTAGGAAACGTTCTTTTCCATGCTAGTAAGATTCGTATCTGAGTTTCATCATGAACTGTGGTTCCGACAATCTGACGGCAGTACTTTGCTTAATGTGATGATGATGAGGAGGATGATGAGGAGGATGAGGATGAGGATGAGGATGCTTATAATGATGATGATGATGTCGATGTCGAAGGTTTGGAGTAGCCATTGCAGCCATCTCATCTTCGATCCGGTCAATGCACGCTCGCTCATTGTTGCGGTAGTGGTAGCAGTTAGCAGTTGTCGTCGTAATAGGAGGAGTGGTTGTTGTTGTAGTGATAACAAGAATAGCAGCAGCAGCAGCAGGAGCAGCAGTGGTAATTAGTGGCAGTGGTAATTGGTGGTGGTGGTGGTGGTGGTGGTGGTGGTGGTGGTGGTAGAAGTAGTCGTCGTCATGGTAGTACAAGGAATAGTACAAGTAGTAGCAGTAGCAGCAGGATCAGTAGTAGTACTAGTAGCAGCAGCAGCAGCAGCAGCAGGAGTAGTAGTAGTAGTAGTAGTAGTAGTAGTAGTAGTAGTAGTAGTAGTAGTAGTAGTAGTCGGAGAAATAGCAGTAGTAGTAGTGGTAGCAGTCGCAGCAGTAGCAGCAATCGCAGCGGCGGCAGGAGCAGGAGTAGTAGTGGTATTGTCACTAACAGGAGTAGAACATCCACAGCATCAAGACCAATAGCATTTGGGCAAAGGGGCATGGGAAAGTGGGAATGGGTGGGTTCTGGTGGGTTTGCGCGGTTTTCGGCGGGTTTGGTTGTGCTCTTGGCGGTTTTTGGTCAATTCAAATTTCGATTCTGGATGGGGAAAGGGCCCACGGGGACACCGCCAGAATTGGGCCTGCGACCGTGGCCAAACCCCCTAGGGAGGCAGCCGCCCGCCCACAGAACTATCTGGCCATGGCCTAATGGGTAAACGTCTGCCTCCAAAGCCCTCCTCGGGAAGGTCGTGGGCTCAATCCCCGGGGGTGTCATTTGGGCCCTTTCCCCACCCGGAATCGAGATTTTGGGGTGACCTGAAGCTCTGGGCTCTCTGGAGACTTAAGAAACGCTATTATAAGGGCTGCAAATCACACCAAATCCGTGCAAATACACACGGAATCCGTGCAAATGCACACTAAATCCGTGCAAAGACATACGAAATTCGTGCTAATACACACGAAATGCGTGCAAATACACACCAAATCCATGCAAATACACACTAAATCCGTGCAAATACACGCCGAATCCATGCAAACACACAGTAAATCCGTGTAAAGACACACACTAAATCCCTCTAACTACACACCAGGTACACAGTAAATGCGTGCAAATACACACGGAATCTGTGCAAATACACACACTAAATCCCTGTAATTAGACACCAAATACTGCGTGCAAATACTCACGATCCGTGCAAACACACGCTAAATGCGTATAAATACATGCAAATACACACTAAATTCGTGCAACTACACAGGACGTGGGTGCAAATACACACCAAATCCGTGCAAATACACACGGAATCCGTGCAAATACATCTAAATCCGTGAATCCGTGCAAATACATACTAAATCCGTGCAAATACACACTGAATCCGTGCAAATACACACTAAATCCGTGCAAACACACAAATCCGTGCAAATACACACTAAATCCGTAAAATACGCATTAAAAAAATAGGCTTCAATAAAGGCTTGGCTAATAAAGCTTTTCATGCGGCTCAATTGAGCAGTTGCTGACTCATGCAATTATAATTCTTCCCCCTAAACCCTCAATCTATAGACCCTAAACATTCCCCCTAATTCAAATTAGGGTTTAAAGGGCGGTGCTACTTCCGGGTGGATCGGGGGAAAAGTGTTTTTATAATTAGGGATCTCTTTAGTAAATGGGGGAAGGGATTAGTAGGTACTTAGGCCTTAAGGCGTAAGTATCTACTATATGGGTACATGGAGCCTTAGGGTTCTTCTTGTTGTGGCCTAAGACCAAACACTTCAACATGTCCCAGTACACCCAGCAGGGTGTATACAGTTCCTGGAAGCTCACGGGCCAAAGCGCAGCATTTGGTGGCAGCTTCATGGTCTCAAAAGTCGCTGGGTCCACCTGGGGGCTTGGAAAATGGCTTCTTGTTGCAGCCTAATTCCGAGACACGGGAGATCTAAATTGTTGGAAACCTCCACCTCGATGCTGACACCATTCTTAAACTTCTCCCCAAAGGTGGCCACCACGGCATCCTCATCCTCCAAGCTGAGCAGGCTTGTCCCGTCGATGGCAGTGATGGTGCATCCAGCCTGCAAATACGGCTGGCCAGGCACATCCTCCACCTCATCCACGTGCATGCCCCAGTACGTCGCTAGGAGCCGTAGCCCAGCACCGTTCTCGGGATCCACCACCAAATATGGCTTCTCATGCTCCTTGCCCTTGCCACCCTTGCCCTTTCCATCCTTTTCTTTCCCGTCCTTGCCCTTGCCTTCGCTGTTAACATCCTCCGCCGGGGATTCCTTTCCTTAGGCGTCTACAGGGATCACAGGCATATCGGATCACGGCAAGGATCGCCTCACCCAACCCCAAAACCCTAAACAACCAACACCCAATTCTTAAATTTTGAAGGCACCAGGCACGGACACCCCTAAGCCCCAATATTTCAAACCCTGAAGCGCCGCTAAGCTTCCTTTGCCCTCTTTAGCTTTGTCTTTGCCTTTGCCCTTCGGAGCCATAGTCTGCGCTGGCTCGGGCGCTTCAACAGACTCGTGCTCAGCACCATCGTCCTGCAGAGCCAGCTGGCAAAAGGATGTGAGTCAACATTGAAGACACGTTACCTCCAGCCTTCGCCACGTAGACACATCCCTCAACGACAGAAATCCCTCACCTCAATTGCGCCACATACATACGTACACCCCGGGCAGTCCACAATTTAGATTCCAGCAATGCGTGCCACTTCTTGGTCCCTCAGGCCAGCAGACCATCACCCATCGCCTTTGGCATTTTATAATGGGGGCTGCAGTCCTCCTTTAAGAAAATCAAAAGCTATTGGACAACTTCACAGGTTCGTGTCCTGCATCTGCTGGGCGTACGCCTGCCGGGCTGCCGACTCGTCCGCTTCTAGCCGATGTCTTTCCTGGTGCTGACCTTTCAGACCATCATCATGACGTGTCATGGTGCGAACCTATTCCCCGTACAGACCTGCACGATTATGTGTCAGTACTCCACTCGAATGAAACTGTAACCCCATGAAGCTGAATTCTGCACAGCTGTCTTTGTCGGGCCCTTTCTGGGATTACATGTTAGTGATGTGAGGGAAAGTTTACATGTATGTAGATACATACATGCAGACATATTCGTGTACATGTCTTTCTACGTACAGTAATGCAAAACAACAGCCCTTCCGGAACCTAATTCGACTGAGGTCCCCACGAATCACCATCTGCGTGGCTTCTTGGTCGACCTGAAGACATCTCAACCAATCAAGACGAAGGTGGATTCTTGGGTTCATGTAGGCTATGGATACACGCGGGGATGATTGAGTAATGCAGGGATGGTACTGAAACATCCCACCTGTCTCCGTCGCTGCTGCTCCGCCGACTGGCCACTGTGCAACCTTAAGCGAAGGTTCGGCTTGTGCTTGGAGATTTCATGTGGCAAGGCTTTGCGGTAGGGCGTCTTGCTGTGAGTTTGGTTGTATCGGTTCTGCTCGGTGTCACCTTTCAGTGCCTTTCAGATAGACATGGTGCGATGGGTGTTGAGCTGAATGCGAGCCCTTGAACCACCCAACACTCGGAAGCAGTTGACATCTGACCGACCCAATGCCCGCGAGAATCCAAACCCTGTCCTCGACGCTTCGAAGATCCAAAAACTGCACAGAACCACGATCGACCCTAAACCCTAAACCCTAACGCTGTGCCCCTGAACCCAACTGGAAGAGCCTCAATCTGAGCCAGGCCACCCAGGCGACCCAAGCAGTGTGGGGAGCTCCTTTCCGATCATCGCTGTAGGGGTTTTGAAACTTAGAGTTGAGGGTTTTTAATGTTTTTTACCTTATTTGGGGGTCCCTATAATAAGGATCCTACTATTCAGGGTACTATATTAGGGTCCCTTATTTTGGGAAACTCCCACTTGTTTTTCAGGCGTTCATTCAACGTAAGACCTCGTTGCAAAGGAATCTTCCGCTGCCTAGTTGTCTTCCAATGGACCCAAGATGATACAAGCTTGTAAACCTCCTCCCCCCCCACCCCGCGAACAACGTAGCTACGCCCTCAACCCTATAAATCCTTACACGAAAGCCCTCAAGGACCTTAGAACATGTTGGGGCGTGGGTGGCAGGAGGGGGGGCAGTTATAAGGGTGCCCCCAGTTTCGGGGTTCCAGTTTCGGATCGATCCGAAACTGACCCAGGCCCGATCCGAAACTGACCCCTGCTAAGACACGGCGATCCCAACCAATCAGGGGGCCTAACCATGTGAGGTACAGGAAATGCTGTACACACTCGACCAGAGTATATGTCCTGACCCGAAAGTTCAATAACGCGTAGTGTGCACTAAACTAAACCCTTCATTCTCTGCATTTCTGTGCTCGCGAAATCAAGCAAGCACGCAATACTCAGTCTTGGAATCTTGCTTGATGCTTTCAAATTGCTTGACCTCAAAATTGCTACAATAACTGCTACTGCAAGGACATTTGGGATGCTCTCAGCGTTTGCAAAGGGAATAAACCAAAAGTTGCAGTAGTTTGGACTTTGCTTCTTGGGAAACTGCTCCGAAAGGCATACGAACGGGAACCCAAGCATTCATGGGGACTTTGCCGGGATCTCAATTGCAGGGACGGGAGAGCATGAGAGCAAACAAATCCGCACGAAGCAGCATCAGCACCAGCAGCAGTCGCAGTGGTCGCAAAAGTTGGGAGACACAACTGCCGTTCCTCCTCCCCCTCTACCTCGCACTTGCAACAAGTACCTGCGCAAAAAAAGTTATGACTGATGCGACTCAAAGGCATATGCATTTTCATGGGCAATGCATTTTCATGGGCACGACAAGAACACAGTTTTAAGGACGACGATGAACGCAAGGACAAGGAGGATGATAGCAGAAGTGGTGGACGTGAACTTGGCTTTCGGTGTGGGCGTGTCGCAGGCACTTGTACTCAAACTGACGACGGTAACCAATCCCAGAAAGCAGTCCACCTGAACGGCTTCTTCCTTCTTTTTCAGCTCTGCTTCGGCTGCCTCCTTGTCCACCTGACGAGATCTCAATTCGGGTTGATCATTCTGAGGGTCACACTTGAAAACGCAAAGCGAAGGACGGCCAAACGGCACGATCGACTACAGTACAGTTGCCAAAGCCTGAGATCTAGAAAGTGACCATCCGCCGAATCAGAAGAGTTTGCAGGACAAATTGTGAATGTGGACCAGGAGCAAACACTGGGTGAGAACAACGAGTCAACACGTAAAACATACTAGTAACTATGTGGCCGTCAGGCGACAAGCAACACGCTGCTCCATCGTTCGAAATCCCTCATCCCCTCGAAGCCTGGAATTTCACGGCAGCCGCAGTCTTGCGTGCTTCCTGCAATTAGGTTCTACACCGGCCAGCTCAGTGAGCGGAGTTTTGGGTTTGAAAGGAGTCTATGGTGTGTTGCCAGTAGCATTGGACCGCAAACAAGGGTACGGCAATGGGCGTGCACGTACAACGTAGCCACGGCAAAATTGCACAAATGATACTTTGCGGCCTCTACAGCTGGCAATACGAAGTTACTTCCTACATGGATCCCCCTCATACATCGCATTACATCCCCAACCCTCATCATAGGAATCTCAACAAGCTACAGCATTTTCGCAAAAAGCCCAGCGAGACTGCGCAGACACCGCTCTCAACATCGACTGCACCATGGAAGCTCAATGCGAGCTCCATACCCGATGCCAGGGCTGTGAGAAACGTGTTTAGGGTTTAGGGTTTAGGGTTTTTTTGCACAAGCAACTTCGAATTCAAGAGCGCAATCAAGCATCGCAGCACACTACGCCTGCTGTCCTGGCGAAGAATCACAAACTACAGCTGCCAATGCTTCTGCTATGGACTCTGCTTTCATAGAAGGAACCAGTTCAAAACCAACCAGCCATGTAAAAGTAGCCGTGCATGTCCAGCCCGAAGCTCGAAACCCGGTGAGTCTACGCCTGGGCCTTGATCCACTGGGAAAACAGCCGTTTGTTCTCAATCCAGGCGTGGTATATGTTCAAGCCTAGCTATGTCTCAGAACAAAGGCTTCCCTGACATAGTATACTGTACCATCCGAAAATTAGCGCCCAAACAAGCCTATCGCATCAGCGACATGCAGCCCAGCCACGACCAGCTCCTCCAAAAAGCCTAGCATGCTTTAAACTGTAGGTTTCTTTTTGGAGGGGGGGGAGGAAACAGAAAGGAATGCTGTGGGGCCCCTGTGTTTGCACACATGAGGTTTTGCGGTAATTATTCTGAGATCACGACTGAGAGGTTTTACATTGGAATGTGTCTAGGTTTGTTCCAAAGGATTTTCAAACATTCGCGCAAAACCGTTCAAATGCATAACAGTACATCATATGTCCTTTCGCGAGATCCAGCAAATTTTCTGAAACATAAGAGTCTTTCCAAAAGTCATCCATCGAAACAGTCACATATGGCCAGGAAAGCAGAGTTCGAAGCCTATCAGACTGTTTGACCCGAATCCAAGAATCTCAAAGATGAACGATTGACCAAACCGCGTTCAGGCAGCAATACCCCCAACTGAGTGCGTGTAATCCGGATATAGATTGCAGGTTCCCATCAAGCGTGAGACCCGAAGCCGCAGTAGGACAAGATGGGTAGCAAACCAGAAACCCTGCAAAGACTGATGCGGCCCAACAAGCTTGAAACTCCTATGGTTAAGTTTTCACATATTGGCCCAACACCGTACGCACGCCTATACATGTACACACACATACATACGTACATACATACATATACATATGTATACATATTAGATACACATACACAGGCACATATGTGTGCATATGTACAAATATTCGAGACTTTGTGTGTGTATATATATGTACATACGTGCATCTACCTATGTAACCGCGCCTGTGCATTTTCCAACACTATCCCTTGCACTTCAATGGCGCATTTCGCAACGTGACCCGATTTGGAAGTACATGCGTTGCAGTTGTTGCAGTTTACATCATTTGGCAAGCAATAAAGGTTTCCATTCGCTTAGGAAACTAAGCTTCCAAAGACCAGAGCAAGTTTCATAAGTGTGGCAGCCCCTCAAGCTGAACATCGATTGTCTGGGGATACGAAGGGTCTCCTGTTCGCCACGGGTGCTAATAGCTCTTGCTATTCAAGTTTTGCTTTTTGGTGTGACCATTGAAAGTTGCAATGGTCTAACTGCGTTGGAATGAGCACTGGAAGAGACTGGGGGGCAGGCCATTTATTTCGCACAACTCAGACGCGTTGATCGGTTCCTGCTGCAGGAAAAGAAGGCCGGTTTTGGGTAGCGCGGGCAGGCTCCCGTACCAAAACCTTTGAGATCTTGCTACAGTTAAACGCCAACTTGAGATGTCCAAGTTTTGCGGAATACCACAAAGGAACCAACGTGATCCTGCACTAGGTCTGCCGAAACAAGACGTTTGGCTCAAAGCTCAAGATGACAGTTGTTTACACAGTGGACGCATGCTGAGCTTGTGGTCATCTTCCCAAGCAATCATGTCACTTACCTGAAACTTGAATCTTTCCCGATGTGGAGGGGGAGGAGTGGGACAGCAGGAGGAAGAGGAAACCCTGAACCTTTAAACCTTAAATCCAATTAGGAGGTGTGTGCTGATTAACAAAACTGAGATAGCCAGGAGGCCGAGATTGAACCACAAACTTAAAAACGGCCTTGCCGAGCGAAGGGTCGACGGGAGGTACGGCCTGCGAGATGGACTGGGACACAAGCAGTTTTCCCCTTGAAGCTGCCAAGGTTACGCTTTCTGTTTTTTTTTGGTGCTTTTCGGTTTGCGGCTTCTGGCTTCAAGTCCAAGCACATGTGGACCCTGAAGCTCACGCCTTGCCCTTCATGACGAGGAGCTCTTCGAGCAGGTCTGGCGCACGGGGATCGTTTACTTAAAGGATCATGGGACTTAGTAACTATAGGGTTCTTTAAAGGGCTCCTTAAAAGGGATCTATAAGGGTTCTATAAGAGGGGTCTTTGGGTTACTTAAAGGATCATGGGACTTAGTAAGTAAGGTTATTATGAGGGTAACTATACTTATAACGACTTGTAACCCCAATTAAGGTACTTACAACCTTACGTACTAAATCCCATGATCCTCCAAGTAGGCTTCTGGCTGTAAGATTTCGGGATCACTCTTTACAGGATAGAGCTAAGACAGCTAAGAGCTTGAGATTCAGTGGTCGCCCTGAGTACATGGGGATCTTTGGGAGATGTGGCAAATAAGCAAGAACCTGTCATTCCGGTATTTAAGGTCTGACCAGAAGGTGAGAACACCTGCACATCAGAGAATAAACGGTCGCCGCATCGAGAACAAGTTAGCATGCCTGTAAGCTAGAGCGTAGAAGATGTGAAGCTATGTTTCTTCGACTTGGTTTGCAAGCAATGGGTTCCCAAGAGCATACCTTCCACGAACGAGTTTGATGTGTGCTATCAGTAGGCAGTACACGGAGTGGCGGAATTATGAATGCAAGTGGAGTTTGTTCTGTTGATGCCTCCAAGTCTATGTCAAAGCTGGGACCCGGTCCCACAAATGTCACCTAGACATCACTTCTTCTAGAAAAACGGTATTTCGCATTAAGGCCTGACTTCAGAGCCAATTCAATTTCAGCACACATCCCCCAGTCTCGAAGAGAATTCTTCCCAGTCCTTCAATTTCTGAATTCTAGTTTGAAGGGTGATGCTAGGGAGCTTGACTCTGAATCAACATGATGAGTGTGAATCGAGTCACTCCTAAACTATCCCATTGCCGTACGACCACGACTACAATGCCGACGCCGACATTGACGGCTACGCCGACGACTGCTATGTCGACGAGAGCCGCAATTTTGGTGTTGAATGACACTCGGAAGAAGAAGACTCACATGGTAGTTACAAAACAAAGCACCAGAATTGGTTGCCACCCGAACACACTGTAACATGCCAATGTAGTATCTTCATGTGTCGGTACACTACCATGGACCTAGCGCAACATGGCTCAGCCATGAAACGCCTGCTCCAATCTGTTTAGGTCCTTTAAGGGTCTGGAAATATTCAGATATCTGGGAGTTTCTGAAACCCACCCGAAGATAATTTATCAGTAATGGGGTACACTACCGTCCCCACATTACTGAGGGTTCACAACCGGTTGCAATACGTGGGAAACTGCGCAACTCGTAAATATTCAGAAAAGATTTATAGACGATCGGCGAACGGAGAACAACTTTGCAGTGACGGACTTAAGCCAACTTTACACTCACTCCGTTTTGGTGCTTCAGACACAACCTGAAGCAGAAGCAGATACAGCGCGTTTGTTGCAGCTGCCGCTGCTGCTGCTGCTGCCGACGACGACTTAGACAGCGATGACAACCACAAAAAAGACGACGACGAGACAACTTTGAGTATGGACTCCCTAGCTTACAAGAGGACCGACTGAGAACTACTTTACTGATACTTCAAACATTTCCACTCTGCGGGGGCTCACTCTGGAATTGGGCACTCCAGCGACGCTGTGGGCACTCCGGCAGGGTACTCTGGGGATATTCCAACACACTCTAACACCCTAGACTAGAGATATCCTCGGGTTGAGCGGTCCAGGGATTCTCTGGGGATACTCTGAAGTTGAAACAATCCAGGGAAAACTCTGCGATTGAGCACTCCAAGGATTTTGTGGGGATACTCTGGGGTTGGGCACCTCAGGCATACAAGAGGGCGATGAGTAGACCTTTCAGGCAAAAGAGTTGAGTTGAACATCTAACAACCCCAAGCCGAGGGTGGGGAAGTAAAGAGAAGTGCAATAACCCAGGCTGGCTGGTGCAAGGCCTGCCGCTCGCTTAAGCTCAGCCACAGACGGCGGCATGGCTTGGCCTTTTCCAGGGAAGTAGGTTAAATGTCAACAGACTCTCGGAAATGTGGCTTTTGAGCACGAAGATTCCGCAGTATTACGAAACTAGGCCATGAGGCTGAATGGCATTCTTGACCTTTGCTGTCGCAACTCGCATGAAGATAAGTGTCCTGTCATGCTTCAGGAATCTATAGGATGGCCTGACGCCCTTGAGAATGCTTGCCTTATATCTCGTGGAACTGTTAGAAACTCGCGTGCTTACTTGGTTCGTCGGGTTACTTTGGGCTTTGGGGTTCTAGGCTTGGAACTGACGGGCGAGTGCCCCAATTCGTTACACAGCTGCAGGCAGCCCTGAGAGCTTCGAGCCAGAGCCTCGCATGCTACACCGAAAACCCTGAAACACAACACACAATTTGAAGCCTTCACTCCTACAGACCGTGCAAGTCCATCCTGGCCCGCCCCCTGCCTGCGGAAATCAACGATGGCCGCTGAGGGATGCTAGTAGCTTTCACATGTGCTGAAAGCCAACCATCGCAGCAAAAGCTCTGAGGCGCTCTTCGGTCGGATTTGGGGCATACTTAAGTGCACTCCAAATTCATTAGCAAACCTTTCGCATCAGCCCAGCAACAGTGTGCAACCAGGCAGGGGCAAGCAGTCAACTCTTCGCGTGCCCTTTCGATGTGGAATTCGCATCAAGCTCCAGAAGATTCCAGACGAAAGTTGCGGTAGACCTGCGCGTGAAGATTTTTCCCTGTCCCTGACCCAGATTGATCGCGTGATCCAGGCCAGGGAAGCCTCCGGCTCCCTGCCTGTAAATCCCCATTGCTCTTTGAAGACAAAGAGGCACGATGAAGGCTTCACGCAAAGAGCGTGAAGCCTAAAATGGCCTTAACCTAGTTGGAGGACCGAAGCTCAATCAGTAAAGCGCGGAGTCTCTCAGACCTGGGCGAATGGCTGCTGACTCGGCCACTGCCAGGGCCCTTTGGTCCACACCCTGCCGACACACAAGACCTGGTGACTCATCATCCGGCAAATTTTGGAGCAGGGCCAGTCTTGTCTTGGACCCCATCATAAGCTAAGGCAGGCACTGGTCGGCCAACAACCTCACACGAAGCCTTGAAGCCTTGCTCCTGTCTCCCGAAATATAAGATGCAGGGTTTAAGCGAGGGCTGAGAAAACTGAACGATTTTCGATGGGGCTGCGACATGTCATGGTCTACAGACCCTTTGAACAGATACGTGAGGAAGCATCGGCTTCCTTTAACGTTGCTTTGCAGCTTTGGAACCGATCCTCAATATGGCCTGAAGGCTAACCGGCATAGCTTTAAACCCCATGCAGGGTGCCAAATCAACAGCAGTATTGTAGAGGCATATGCGGGGATTTCCGCTACAGCCCACAGCTTCGACAACAGCTCATACTCCTGCCACAGCAGTAAACGAACAAACTCCGGCAAGTTTTACAGACAAATCCCACACCCGTACAAAGGCTGTTGACTGGTCTAGCTTCAAGTTTTGCATGTATCCAGACAACCAGTTGTGTTGCTTGGCAACTGAACCATCGTCATTCTCAACTTGACATGAATAGAAAAACCTTTGACATCGTGCTTCTGCGTCGAATCATGCCTGGTCTCACACAAAGGGCCGGCCCGTGCAGCGAGGCTTTAGATACCCGACACCTTTTACCGTTTATAATACCCCCAACGCTTCGACCCGAGGTCATCAGCTGAAGTCGAATCATCAAAGGCCTTCGCATGCGACCAAGGAACTGGTCTTCCATGTCAGCCTCAGCAACGCAAGGATGAGAGCTTAAGGTATGGCTCCTCGCAGGACATTGGAAGTGCAGGACATGGATTATACCCGTAAAAAGCGAGCCACAGGCACCTGCTAGCGACTAGCGACTTAGAAGATGTAAGCTGGCTAAAGACTGCGTAGCTTTGGTTCAAGTCGCTCTATGCCGATACTACGGGTTAACGAGTGCCTCGCATTTTGGGACCTCGATTGTCCTGACTGGTGCAAAAGCTCCTTCCTGGGCGATCGTTTGCGATAAGTATAAATCCCCATGAGGATGCCGCGAAGCGTTTCTGGGGCATACAGCCCAAAATGAAACTTGCAACTTGGAACGCCAAACCAGAACCGCTAAAAATGAACGGCCAAAATGAGTTGGCAGTTGGAACACCAAATCAGAATGACACATTGGACAGCTCTGCATGCCAAGAAACATATTTAGTGGCTCCAGTGTTTGCATGTAGCGATCTTATAACCGGAGGATTTGAGACGTTGAACTTTGGATAGGTGGCTGTAACTTGCTAGCAAGGCATTGAAAGAAAAATGATTCTTCTGTGAGGTGATGCCACCTAGAACACTTGAGAGAAAAGCTGAACTCATACCCGGAAACGCTCTTCTCGGCATCACCATGGTCGATCGCAGTCCTTACTCGGCACGGGGATTTACGAGCCTCTAGTTTGAGGACCTGCCGACGACTACCCATTCAAAGGAGACATACTGGGGATGCATGGCAATATTCTCCCACATGGTACTGTAGGTTGTTCGGGGCCAAAGCGTCTTCGAAGCTTATCCCTGGATGAACCGAGGTAACAGCCACAAGGGACTGAACATGTACTTGGCAAAGACGGAATCCCAAATCAAGGCCCTGTTCTTGCAAAGAGGGGCGCCATGACGTGCCATGTTAGTATGGACAACTGCAAATGTCCGGTATGTGGCAAAGTTCAAGAGCGTGATAGGCTTGTGTGCTGCAGGGGCTGGAGGTTTACCGCCGCATGAGCCCCCTCATAACTCATCTTCTCCGGATCAGAAGGGACTGTCATGTTGGATGGAAATGGGGCTCCAGGCTTAAGGATATGCTCATGGTATGCTAATCACATCATGTTAACTCATCATTACTACCCCGGGCAGGGCCCGGCACCAACAAAAATCCGGACACCCCCCCGAATTAGTGGGGCTAGCCCCTAAAGCCCGACAAAAGAGAAGAAGGTCAGAGGTGCCAGCCTTCGGCTGGGCTGAACATCAGAGACTTCACGCTCACGCCCTGAAACCTCACAGGATCCTGGATTCCTGGTCCCTCAAAACAACATCAAATTTTGAAGTCTAGCAAACAACTTCCTATTGAAAATCCACTGCACTTGATTCAGATTCCATTCAATTGGAGCTAAACATGCGTATTTGGAGGGGCGGGTGCGGCGGGATCTTGCTTGGAAAATCTTCTGGGCGAGGGTTGGGGGGTATTGATCAGAGGCTAGCAACAGGTTGCAAAAAGCACCTTTCCATAGACCTGTCATGGCTCATAACACCCAATCCTTAACCCGACGTCATCAGGTACACAAGCTGTTGTCAAAACGTCAGCGTGCGGCAGAGGAGCGGCTTTGCATCGACTGCAGCCTAGGCGTGGCGCAGCGCAGAGCTTTGGAGCGAATGTCGGCTTCCGGAGTTACGAGGCGGAAAACGATGCCACTGTACTGTACACGGGATGATCTCAAGATGCCTGCGGTTAGTAAGATGATTCACAAGCGCTTTACAAGCTAGCTCAGCTACGGAGGTCAACTCAGCAGCCCGTCCTATGTGCCAGCAGACAGGACAAGAGCAAACGCAGCCGGAAAGGGTCTGGCTTCAAACGTTTGTCTTGCCCTCAGCTCAGCAAACCCCATGCCCAAGGATGACGATTCAACCAGCCGCACAGTTACAGCATCAAAGACGAACCTCAGATTCGGCCATGAGTAACAGTCCATGCAAATCGTCATCAGGACGCCGAGAGGCGTTTATGGGGTTTGGAATTAAGTGCAAGGCGATGCCACCTGGAACACTTGAGAGAAAAGCTGAAATCAGACCCCGAAACGCTCTTCTCGGCATCACGATGGTCGATCGCAGTCCTTACTCGGCACGGGGATTTACGATCCTCTAGTTTGAGGACCTGCCGACGACTACCCATTCAAAGGAGACATACTGGGGATGCTTGGCAATATTCTCCCACATGGTACTGTAGGTTGTTCGGGGCCAAAGCGTCTTCGAAGCTTATCCCTGGATGAACCGAGGTAACAGCCACAAGGGACTGAACATGTACTTGGCAAAGACGGAATCCCAAATCAAGGCCCTGTTCTTGCAAAGAGGGGCGCCATGACGTGCCATGTTAGTATGGACAACTGCAAATGTCCGGTATGTGGCAAAGTTGAAGAGCGTGATAGGTTTGTGTGCTGCAGGGGCTGGAGGTTTACCGCCGCATGAGCCCCCTCATAACTCATCTTCTCCGGATCAGAAGGGACTGTCATGTTGGATGGAAATGGGGCTCCAGGCTTAAGGATATGCTCATGGTATGCTAATCACATCATGTTAACTCATCATTACTACCCCGGGCAGGGCCCGGCACCAACAAAAATCCGGACACCCCCCCGAATTAGTGGGGCTAGCCCCTAAAGCCCGACAAAAGAGAAGAAGGTCAGAGGTGCCAGCCTTCGGCTGGGCTGAACATCAGAGACTTCACGCTCACGCCCTGAAACCTCAGAGGATCCTGGATTCCTGGTCCCTCAAAACAACATCAAATTTTGAAGTCTAGCAAACAACTTCCTATTGAAAATCCACTGCACTTGATTCAGATTCCATTCAATTGGAGCTAAACATGCGTATTTGGAGGGGCGGGTGCGGCAGGATCTTGCTTGGAAAATCTTCTGGGCGAGGGTTGGGGGGTATTGGTCAGAGGCTAGCAACAGGTTGCAAAAAGCACCTTTCCATAGACCTGTCATGGCTCATAACACCCAATCCTTAACCCGACGTCATCAGGTACACAAGCTGTTGTCAAAACGTCAGCGTGCGGCAGAGGAGCGGCTTTGCATCGACTGCAGCCTAGGCGTGGCGCAGCGCAGAGCTTTGGAGCGAATGTCGGCTTCCGGAGTTACGAGGCGGAAAACGATGCCACTGTACTGTACACGGGATGATCTCAAGATGCCTGCGGTTAGTAAGATGATTCACAAGCGCTTTACAAGCTAGCTCAGCTACGGAGGTCAACTC